CAGATGAACACGAGCAGGAGAACAACCTGGCCGGGAGTCCTGCTCTCCTGCTCACACCAATCTTTGCTCCACTGAAGCGCAGGAGGGACGGTCTCAGGGCTGGTGTAGGGTTTGACCTTACTGGTTTTTTTCCTTCCTGTTTCAGAGGGTCTGGCGGTGGGAGTTGGATTCGGGGCTATTGGGAAATCGGCGTCTGCAACCTTCCAAAGTGCCAGGTAAGCCACAACGCCGCTTCTGCTCTGCGTGCATCAGGTTCTGGGCACGCCTTTGCCTCTTGGAGGTTGTCGGTCTGTCCCGCACTGCTACCGAGCCAGGGTGGTTGGAGATGCACTGACTGCACCTTGTCTGGGAGCACAAGTGTGGGCAAAAGGTGCAGAAGAAATTCCAGTGCTGTTTCATTTCCTAGTGGTTGTGCTTGTCAGACATGACAGAGAAATGCCAAGATTTTCCACAAAAGCAGCATCCCCAATGGGTAGGAGCGGCTGTCGGAGCTGTTGAAAAGCGTGCGGTGGCTTTGTTTTCCGTTGCTGCCAAGCAGGGCCACTAGACTAATTGGTGGCAATAAAGGCTCTTGATGAGCCTGGCATCTCAGCTCCCAGTGTCCCTGCTCCCGGCATCCCAGCCCCTGGTGTCCCAGCTCCTGGTGTCCCAATTCCTGGCGTCCCAGCTCCCAGCATCCCTGCTCCCAGCATCCCTGTTCCCAGTGTCCCTGCTCCCGGCGTCCCTGCTCCCAGTGTCCCAGCTCCTGGCATCCCTGCTCGCCTGTCCCAGCTCCCAGCATCCCAGCTCCCGGTGTCCCAGCTCCCGACGTCCCAGCTCCCGGTGTCCCTGCTCCTGGTGTCCCTGCTCCCAGCATCCCAGCTCCTGGCCAGGCGTCCCTGCTCCCCTGTCCCAGCTCCCGGCGTCCCAGCTCCCGGCATCCCAGCTCCTGGCATCCCAGCTCCCGGTGTCCCTGCTCCCAGTGTCCCAGCTCCCAGCGTCCCTGCTCGCCTGCTCCAGCCTTGCCAGCCGCTCTCGCCCCGCTGTTTTCGGCAGAGCCAGCGTTGCCCCTGCCCTCCCATGCCAAACCATTTGTGCTTCTCTCCCGGACTGGTGTGAACACGCGGGGCTGGTTCAGCTCCTCCAGGCTGCCGGTGGGTGTTTGGTGCATTTTCATGCCAAGGGGGAGCAAAACCTGGGTGTACAGGGTGGGTGATGCGGGGAGAGCCCTGCTGCTTCCCCACGCCCAGCTGCCCCCCCGGCAGAGCTGAAACTGGGCTGACTGGAGGCATTGCTAAAGAAATGGGAGAAAGAAAGAAAGAAGCGTGGTGCGAAGCGGGAGAGCTGTGGGAGAGCTGCTGGCACCTCTCGGCGGCTGGCTCGCAAACGGCCCCCTCCTGCCGAGGCCCCTCCGTGTGCCGTTATCAAATGTTTTTCCTTTTCTGTTTGAATTTTACACCCGGGGCTCGTGGCACGCCACGCTCCCTTCCCCCGTTGTTTGCCAGCCCCACGCTGCGATCGGTGTGGGCTGGGGACACA